AAAACATGCATTAACAAATGTTTTACAAATTGTCTCTTCTGCTTAGAGTGGTTATAGCGTTAAAGAGATTCGAAATCCGGGTTCGAAACTCCCCGTGGTCGATTTGACAAGAAGGTGGTTTCTCGAAAATATCGGCATGGAGTGTCAATCTCATCCGACTAAAAACCGTAACACGAGCTGACTGAAGCCTTGTGGTTGAAATTGAGTAAATGAAACCCTGCGGAGATCATTGTGCTAGTAAGTCATCGGGAACGGGCGATTAAGTGAATTGGCCTTGTTCAACTGTTGATCATAGCCGATTAGGCAATCTCTCCCATAAACTTTAATTAGGTTCTACTCAGTGTAGTCACAGTAGACAGGCAAATTGCTCAATAGCAGTAATAAATAAAAACCAATAAACTCATTTTAAAATTGCAGCTACACGTTTCATGCCAAAATGGCGATAAATATATATAAATATATAAGGAGAGAGAGAGAACTAGTATATATATATGGTATATATATATGGTATATATATATATATATATATGTGTGTGTGTGTGTGTGTGTGTGTGTGTGTGTAACAGAAAATGCTTTAATCATTGAATCTCATAATAAACACGCTTATAACATACTTATCGTTTCTAATAGGGAAGTCAAATGTCAGCTACATTTCCCAACACATGAGTATGCATATATATATATATATATATATATATATATATATATATATATAACTGAACATTGAAGTCAACACTCCAGAGGCGACAGGCTGTTTCAGGCTAGGCGCAATAATCGGGCGACCTGACGATTGCGCCTAGCATGAAACAGCCTGTCGCCTCTGAATGTTAACTTCAATGTTAAGTTTTATATTTATATTTACATACGCTCTATCTCTGATATTGAGCACCTTATCCTATAAATATAGCACACCTTAAAATTATATTTTTCATATATATATATATATATATATATATATACAAAAACACACGCATAGCTTACATAGATAATCACAAGAGTTGAATCCTCGTGTATGTCAATATATGATTGATTACACATTACCGAGGTTATTGTTGCGTATAATATTAGTTTGTTCATCAATATAGAACGTCTGCTGTTGAGTCGAGTGGGCATCAGCGTACGTACACCCACTGAAGTAGAGAAACAAGGTGACGGCCTATTCCCGCTAAGTTCCCTCAGTGTCATGATTACTAATCTCTTGGCTCCCCCACAAAATTAAAGGAACTGATCCAGCACCTAATCGGCCAGAATGATTGACTGCTCGACGACATAAGACTAATGGAAGAATGCCTTTGAATTAATAGATTTAACCTTGCTATATTGCATACTTCAAACAGCTTTCTCTTCATCATCTTCACAATTTTTTTTCTTTTTCTCTGTCTCCCTTCGAATCTTTTCTATCTTCACCAGCTTATTGGATATCTTATTCTCTTCCTTTTATCTCAAACCTCCACATGCAAACTAGCCTCGAGGAGACTAAGACAATGTAAGATTCTCAGCTCAATTTGTCTTCATTCGTAGGTTTTGCACGCCTTGTGTGTGACAGTTAAGCAATAACGACTGTTTACTCGGCGAATGGGTCTTTTGTTTTGTTAATCTATATAAATAAACGCCAAACGCGACACTTGAGAAAGAATGTGTAAATTTGAAAATCTCCAGTCAATCATTTAAAATCGATTTCACGACAAATTTAAAAATAATTAATTAAAATTTGTTCTAATCTTAAGAATATAAATCTGCTAGGAGAAAATGCTACAAAAGCTACAATCGCATCCACTGATAATAATCATTATTTTGTGAGTGGGTCTTTTACAAAATAATTATGGAAGTTATTAAAACAGATAAATTTCCAGAAATCTTTCGACAAATTATATGGATACATATAAGAATTTGTTTTACTTTCTTAAGAAGAGTGTTACAGTGTGTGTGTGGGGGGGGTATTGTGTTGGGAGTGTGTTTTTGTGTGAGATGTATATGTGTATGTGTTGATTGGTAATTTATGGAATTGAAAATAACGAGAAAAGATATTTCGCTTTCTAAAGAGACACGGTCAACAAAATTGATGATGATATTGAGAACATAGTTAAATAAATATGAGGTTGTTGGTCACGTAGTTGCAATGTGGTTGGGCTCAAAATTCCTTCAATATGAGGTTGTTGGTCACGTAGTTGCAATGTGGTTGGGCTCATACTTCCTTCAATATGGCGTGTTGGTCACGTAGTTGCAATATGGTTGGGCTCCTACTTTCTTCAATATGAGGTTGTTGGTCACTTCAATATGAGGTTGTTGGTCAAGTTGTGGTTGGGCTCATATATCCTTCATTATGAGGTTGTTGGGCAGTTGCACTTTCCCTTCAATATGGGGTTGTTGGTCACGTAGTTGCAATGTGGTTGGGCTCATACATCCTTCGGTATGAGGTTGTTGGTCACGCAGTTGCAATGTGGTTGGGCTCCCTCTTTCTTCAATATGAGGTTGTTGGTCACGTCAGTTGCAATGTGGTTGGGGATTTCCTTCAATATGAGGTTGTTGGTCATACATCCTTTCAATATGAGGTTGTTGGTCACGTAGTTGCAATGTGGTTGGGCTCATACTTCCTTCAATATGAGGTTGTTGGTCACGTGTTGTCATGGTTGGGTTCATAATTCCATCAATATGAGGTTGTTGGTCACGTAGTTGCAATGTGGTTGGGCTCATACTTCCTTCAATATGAGGTTGTTGGTCACGTAGTTGCAATATGGTTGGGCAATGTCATATATTTCCTTCAATATGAGGTTGTTGGTCACGTAGTTGCAATATGGTTGGGCTCATAACTTCCTTCAAGGTTGTTGGTGAGGTTGTTGGTCACGTAGTTGCAATTGGGGCTCATTTCCCTCAATATGAGGTTGTTGGCGTAGTTGCATACTTCCCTTCAATATGAGGTTGTTGGTCACGTAGTTGCAATGTGGTTGGGCTCATACTTCCTTCAATATGAGGTTGTTGGTCACGTAGTTGCAATGTGGTTGGGCTCATACTTCCTTCAATATGAGGTTGTTGGTCACGTAGTTGCAATGTGGTTGGGCTCATATATTCCTTCAATATGAGGTTGGTCACGTAGTTGCAATGTGGTTGGGCTCATACTTCCCTTCAATATGAGGTTGTTGGTCACGTAGTTGCTCAACTTTCCTTGTATGAGGTTGTTGGTGGTTGCAATGTGGTTATACTTCCTTCAATATGAGGTTGTTGGTCACTTGCAAATGGTTGGGCTCATACTTCCTTCAATATGAGGTTGTTGGTCACGTAGTTGCAATATGGTTGGGCTCATACTTCCTTCAATATGAGGTTGTTGGTCACGTAGTTGCAATGTGGTTGGGCTCATACTTCCTTCAATATGAGGTTGTTGGTCACGTAGTTGCAATGTGGTTGGGCGTAGTTCATACATTCCTTCAATATGAGGTTGTTGGTCACGAAGTTGCAATATGGTTGGGCTCATACTTTCCTTCAGTATGAGGTTGTTGGTCACGTAGTTGCAATGTGGTTGGGCTCATACTTCCTTCAATATGAGGTTGTTGGTCACGTAGTTGCAATGTGGTTGGGCTCATACTTCCTTCAATATGAGGTTGTTGGTCACGTAGTTGCAATGTGGTTGGGCTCATACTTCCTTCAATATGAGGTTGTTGGTCACGTAGTTGCAATATGGTTGGGCTCATAATTCCTTCAATATGAGGTTGTTGGTCACGTAGTTGCAATGTGGTTGGGCTCATACTTCCTTCAATGTGAGTTTGTTGGTCACGTAGTTGCAATGTGGTTGGGCTCATACTTCCCTTCAATGGGGTTATGAGGTTGTTGGTTGTAGTTGCAATGTGGTTGGGCTCATACTTTCCTTCAATAGGTTGTTGGAGGTTGGTTGGGTCATACTTCCTTCAATATGAGGTTGTTGGTCACGTAGTTGCAATGTGGTTGGGCTCATACTTCCTTCAATATGAGGTTGTTGGTCACGTAGTTGCAATGTGGTTGGGCTCATACTTCCTTCAATATGAGGTTGTTGGTCACGTAGTTGCAATGTGGTTGGGCTCATACTTCCTTCAATATGAGGTTGTTGGTCACGTAGTTGCAATGTGGTTGGGCTCATACTTTCCTTCAATATGAGGTTGTTGGTTGGTCACGTGGTTGCTCAATTCCTTCAATATGTTGTTGGTCACGTGGTTGTTGCATACTTTCCTTCAATATGTGGTTGTTGGTCACGTAGTTGCAATGTGGTTGGGCTCATACTTCCTTCAATATGAGGTTGTTGGTCTCGTAGTTGCAATATGGTTGGGCTCATACTTCCTTCAATATGAGGTTGTTGGTCACGTAGTTGCAATGTGTGGGCTATACTTCCTTCAATATGAGGTTGTTGGTCAGTTGCAATAGTTGGGCTCATACTTCCTTCAATATGGTTGTTGGCGTAGTTGCAATATGGTTGGGCTCATACTTCCTTCAATATGAGGTTGTTGGTCACGTAGTTGCAATGTGGTTAGGCTCATAATTCCTTCAATATGAGGTTGTTGGTCACGTAGTTGCAATGTGGTTGGGCTCATACTTCCTTCAATGTGATAGTTGCAATGTGGTTGGGCTCATACTTCCAGGTTGTTGGTAACGTAGTTGCAATGTGGTTGGGCTCATACTTCCTCATACTTCATTCAATATGAGGTTGTTGGTCACGTAGTTGCAATATGGTTGGGCTCATACTTCCTTCTTCAATATGGGCTCATACTTCCATCAATATGGGGTTGTTGGTCACGTAGTTGCAATGTGGTTGGGCTCATACTTCCTTCAATATGAGGTTGTTGGTCACGTAGTTGCAATGTGGTTGGGCTCATAATCCTTCAATATGAGGTTGTTGGTCCGTAGTTCAATATTCAATATGAGTTTGTTGGTCACGTAGTTGCAATGTGGTTGGGCTCATACTTCCTTCAATATGAGGTTGTTGGTCTAGTTGCAATGTGCATGGGCTCATACTTCCTTCAATATGAGGTTGTTGGTCACGTAGTAGTTGCAATGTGGTTGGGGCTCATACTTCCTTCAATATGAGGTTGTTGGTCACGTAGTTGCAATATGGTTGGGCTCATACTTCCTTCAATATGAGGTTGTTGGTCACGTAGTTGCAATATGGTTGGGCTCATACATCCTTCAATATGGAGGTTGTTGGTCACGTAGTTGCAATATGGTTGGCTCATACTTCCTTCAATATGTTGTTGGTCACGTAGTTGCAATATGGTTAGGCTCATACTTCCTTCAATATGAGGTTGTTGGTCACGTAGTTGCAATGTGGTTGGGCTCATACTTCCTTCAATATGAGGTTGTTGGTCACGTATGTGGTTGCTCATACTTCCTTCAATATGAGGTTGTTGGTCACGCAGTTGCAATGTGGTTGGGGTCACACTTCCTTCAATATGAGGTTGTTGGTCACGTAGTTGCAATGTGGTTGGGCTCATACTTCCTTCAATATGAGATTGTTGGTCAGGTAGTTGGAATATGGTTAGGCTCATATTTCCATCAATATGATGTTGTTGGTCACGTAGTTGCAATGTGGTTGGGCTCGTACTTCCTTCAATATGAGATTGTTGGTCACGTAGTTGCAATGTTGTTGGGCTCATATATCCTTCAATATGTGGTTGTTGGTCTCGTAGTTGCAATATGGTTGGGCTCATAATTCCTTCAATATGAGTTTGTTGGTCACGTAGTTGCAATGTGGTTGGTCTCATACTTCCTTCAATATGAGGTTGTTGGTCACGTAGTTGCTCATACTTCCTTCAATGTGGTTGGGCTCATAGTTTGCAATATGGTTATATTCAATATGAGGTTGTTGGTCACGTAGTTGCAATGTGGTTGGGCTCATACTTCCTTCAATATGAGGTTGTTGGTCACGTAGTTGCAATGTGGTTCAATGAGTTGGGATCATACTTCCCTTCAATATGAGGTTGTTCATCATACTTCCTTCAATATGAGGTTGTTGGTCACGTAGTTGCAATGTGGTTGGGCTCGTACGTCCTTCAATATGACGTTGTTGGTCACGTAGTTGCAATATGGTTCGGCCCATACTTCCTACACTATGAGATTGTTGGTCACGTAGTTGCAATATGGTTGGGCTCATAATTCCTTCAATATGAGGTTGTTGGTCACGTAGCAACAATGTGGTTGGGCTCATATTCCTTCAATAGGAGGTTGGCTCACGTAGTTTTAATGTTGTTGGGCTCATATTTCTTCAATATGAGGTTGTTGGTCACGTAGTTGCAATGTGGTTGGCTCATACTTCCCTTCAATATGAGGTTGTTGGTCACGTAGTTGCAATATGGTTGGGCCCATACTTCCTTCAATATGAGGTTGTTGGTCATGGTGTAGTTGCAATATGGTTGGGCTCATACTTCCTTCAATATGAGGTTGTTGGTCATGTGGTTGGGCTCATACTTCCTTCAATATGAGGTTGTTGGTCACGTAGTTGCAATGTGGTTGGGCTCATTCCTTCAATATGAGTTTGTTGGTCACGTAGTTGCAATGTGGTTGGGCTCATACTTCCTTCAATATGAGGTTGTTGGTCACGTTGCAATGTGGTTTGCTTCCTTCAATATGAGGTTGTTGGTCATGTAGTTGCAATGTGGTTGGGATCATTCCTTCAATATGAGGTTGTTGGTCACGTAGTTGCAATGTGGTTGGGCTCATACTTCCTTCAATATGAGGTTGTTGGTCACGTAGTTGCAATGTGGTTGGGCTCATACTTCCTTCAATATGAGGTTGTTGGTCACGTAGTTGCAATATGGTTGGGCTCAACTTCCCTTCAATATGAGGTTGTTGGTCACGTAGTTGCAATGTGGTTGGGATCATACTTCCTTCAATATGAGGTTGTTGGTCACGTAGTTGCAATGTGGTTGGGCTCATACTTCCCTTCAATATGAGGTTGTTGGTCACGTAGTTGCAATGTGGTTGGCCTCATACTTCCCTTCAATATGAGGTTGTTGGTCACGTAGTTGCAATGTGGTTGGGCTCATACTTTCCTTCAATATGAGGTTGTTGGTCACGTAGTTGCAATGTGGTTGGGCTCATACTTCCTTCAATATGAGGTTGTTGGTCACGTAGTTGCAATGTGGTTGGGCTCATACTTCCTTCAATATGAGGTTGTTGGTCACGTAGTTGCAATGTGCTTGGGCTCATATTTTCTTCAATATGAGGTTGTTGGTCAGGTAGTTGCAATGTGGTTGGGCTCATACTTCCTTCAATATGAGGTTGTTGGTCACGTAGTTGCAATATGGTTGGGCTCATACTTCCTTCAAATCGGGTTGTTGGTCAGGTTGTTGGTCATTCAGTATGAGGTTGTTGGTCACGTAGTTGCAATGTGGTTGGACTCATACTTCCTTCAATATGAGGTTGTTGGTCACGTAGTTGCAATGTGGTTGGGCTCATACTTCCTTCAATATGAGGTTGTTGGTCACGTAGTTGCAATATGGTTGGGCTCATACTTCCTTCAATATCAGGTTGTTGGTCACGTAGTTGCAATGTGGTTGGGCTCATACTTCCTTCAATATGAGGTTGTTGGTCACGTAGTTGCAATGTGGTTGGGCTCATACATCCTTCAGTATGAGGTTGTTGGTCACGTAGTTGCAATGTGGTTGGGCTCATACTTCCTTCAATATGAGGTTGTTGGTCACGTAGTTGCAATGTGGTTGGGCTCATACTTCCTTCAATATGAGGTTGTTGGTCACGTAGTTGCAATATGGTTGGGCTCATATTTCCTTCAATATGAGGTTGTTGGTCACGTAGTTGCAATGTGGTTGGGCTCATACTTCCTTCAATATGAGGTTGTTGGTCACGTAGTTGCAATGTGGTTGGGCTCATACTTCCTTCAATATGAGGTTGTTGGTCACGTAGTTGCAATGTGGTTGGGCTCATACTTCCTTCAATATGAGTTTGTTGGTCACGTAGTTGCAATGTGGTTGGGCTCATACTTCCTTCAATATGAGGTTGTTGGTCACGTAGTTGCAATGTGGTTGGGCTCATACTTCCTTCAATATGAGGTTGTTGGTCACGTAGTTGCAATGTGGTTGGGCTCATAATTCCTTCAATATGAGGTTGTTGGTCACGTAGTTGCAATGTGGTTGGGCTCAGGAGGTTGTTGGTACTTCCTTCAATCAATATGAGGTTGTTGGTCACGTAGTTGCAATGTGGTTGGGCTCATACTTCCTTCAATATGAGGTTGTTGGTCACGTACATGGTTGCAATATGGTTGGGCCCATACTTCCCTTCAATATGAGGTTGTTGGTCACGTAGTTGCAATGTGGTTGGGCTCATACTTCCTTCAATATGAGGTTGTTGGTCACGTAGTTGCAATGTGGTTGGGCTCATACTTCCTTCAATATGAGGTTGTTGGTCACGTAGTTGCAATGTGGTTGGGCTCATATTTCCTTCAATATGAGGTTGTTGGTCACGTAGTTGCAATATGGTTGGGCTCATACTTCCCTTCAATATGAGGTTGTTGGTCACGTAGTTGCAATATGGTTGGGCTCATACTTTCCTTCAATATGAGGTTGTTGGTCACGTAGTTCCAATGTGGTTGGGGTACTTCCTTCAATATGAAGTTGAGGTTGTTGGTCACGTAGTTGCTCATACTTAATTCAAATGAGGTTGTTGGGGTTGCAATGTGGTTGGGCATACCTCCTTCAATATGAGGTTGTTGGTCACGTAGTTGCAATGTGGTTGGGCTCATACTTCCTTCAATATGAGGTTGTTGGTCACGTAGTTGCAATATGGTTGGGCTCATACTTCCCTCAATATGAGGTTGTTGGTCACGTAGTTGCAATATGGTTGGACTCATACTTCCTTCAAATATGAGGTTGTTGGTCACGTAGTTGGGCAATATGGTTGGGCGTCATACCAGTATGGTTCCATTCCTTCAGTATGAGGTTGTTGGAGTTGCAATTGTTGGTCACTTCCTTCAATATGAGGTTGTTGGTCAAGTTGCAATGTGGTTGGGCTCATACTTCCTTCAAATATTGTTGGAGTAGTTTGGTTGGCCTCATATTTCCATAATATGATGTTGTTGGTCAGTTGCAATGTGGTTGGGCTCATACTTCCTTCAATATGAGGTTGTTGGTCACGTAGTTGCAATGTTGTTGGGCTCATACTTCCTTCAATATGAGGTGGTTGGCGTAGTTGCAATGTGGTTGGGCTCATAATTCCTTCAATATGAGTTTGTTGGTCACGTAGTTGCAATGTGGTTGGACTCATACTTACTTAAATATGAGGTTGTTGGTCACGTAGTTGCAATATGGTTAGGCTCCTACTTCCTTCAATATGAGGTTGTTGGTCACGTAGTTGCAATGTGTTTGGGCTCATACTTCCTTCAATATGAGGTTGTTGTAGTCACAATGTGGTTGGGGCTCCATACTTCCTTCAATATGAGGTTGTTGGTCACGTAGTTGCAATGTGGTTGGGCTCATACTTCCTTCAATATGAGGTTGTTGGTCACGTAGTTGCAATGTGGTTGGGCTCATACTTCCTTCAATATGAGGTTGTTGGTCACGTAGTTGCAATGTGGTTGGGGGTCCTTCAATATGAGTTTGTTGGTCACGTAGTTGCTCATCTCCTTCAATATGAGGTTGTTGGTCACGTAGTTGCAATGTGGTTGGGCTCATACTTCCTTCAATATGAGGTTGTTGGTCACGTAGTTCAATGTGGTTGGCTCATACTTCCTTCAATATGAGGTTGTTGGTCACGTAGTTGCAATGTGGTTGGGCTCATACTTTCCTTCAATATGAGGTTGTTGGTCACGTAGTTGCAATGTGGTTGGGCTCATACTTCCTTCAATATGAGGTTGTTGGTCACGAGTTGCAATTGGTTGGTCTTCCTTCAATATGAGGTTGTTGGTCACGTAGTTGCAATGTGGTTGGGCTCATACTCCCCTTCAATATGAGGTTGTTGGTCACGTAGTTGCAATGCTCATACTTCCTTCAATATGAGGTTGTTGGTCACGTAGTTGCAATGTGGTTGGGCTCATACTTCCTTCAATATGAGGTTGTTGGTCACGTAGTTGCAATGTGGTTGGGCTCATACTTCATACTTCCTTCAATATGAGGTTGTTGGTCACGTAGTTGCAATGTGGTTGGGCTCATACTTCCTTCAATATGAGGTTGTTGGTGGTTGCAATGTGGTTGGGCTCATACTTTCCTTCAATATGAGGTTGTTGGTCACGTAGTAGTTGGCTCATACTTCCTTCAAATGTGGTTGTTGGTCACGTAGTTGCAATGTGGTTGGGCTCATACTTCCTTCAATATGAGGTTGTTGGTCACGTAGTTCCAATGTGGTTGGGGCTCATACTTTCCTTCAATATGAGGTTGTTGGTCACGTAGTTGCAAATGGTGGTTGGACTTCATACTTCCTTCAATATGAGATTGTTGGTCACGTAGTTGCAATGTGGTTGAATCATATTCCTTCAATATGAGGTTGTTGGTCACGTAGTTGCAATATGGTTGGGCTCATACTTCCTTCAATATGAGGTTGTTGGTCACGAAGTTGCAATATGGTTGGGCTCATACTTCCTTCAATATGAGGTTGTTGGTCACGTAGTTGCAATGTGGTTGGGCCTATACTTCCTTCAATATGAGGTTGGTCACGTGATGAAGCAATGTGGTTGGGGCTCATCCTTCAATATGAGGTTGTTGGTTCACGTAGTTGCAATGTGGTTGGGCTCATACTTCCTTCAATATGAGGTTGTTGGTCACGTAGTTGCAATGTGGTTGGGCTCATACTTTTCTTCAATATGAGGTTGTTGGTCACGTAGTTGCAATGTGGTTGGGCTCTATATTCCTTCAATATGAGGTTGTTGGTCAATAGTTGCAATGTGGTTGGGCCCATTTTCCCTTCAATATGAGGTTGTTGGTCACGTAGTTGCAATGTGGTTGGGCTCATACTTCCTTCTCATAGTTACCAATGTGGATTTTCCTTCAATATGAGGTTGTTGGTCACGTAGTTGCAATGTGGTTGGGCTCATACTTCCTTCAATATGAGGTTGTTGGTCACGTTGCAAAGTTGGGGCTCATACTTCCTTCAAATTTGTTGGGTTGGTTGGCTCATACTTCCTTCAATATGAGGTTGTTGGTCACGTAGTTGCAATGTGGTTGGGCTCATACTTCCTTCAATATGAGGTTGTTGGTCACGTAGTTGCAATATGGTTGGGCTCAAACTTTCCTTCAGTATGAGGTTGTTGGTCACGCAGTTGCAATGTGGTTGGGGTCACACTTCCTTCAATATGAGGTTGTTGGTCACGTAGTTGCAATGTGGTTGGGCTCATACTTCCTTCAATATGAGTTTGTTGGTGGTTGCAATGTGGTTGGTCTCATACTTCCTTCAATATGAGGTTGTTGGTCACGTAGTTGCAATGTGGTTGGGCTCATATTTCCTTCAAGGTTGTTGGTGAGGTTGTTGGTCACTTCCTTCAATATGAGGTTGTTGGTAGTTGCAATGTGGTTGGGGCTCATACTTCTTCAATATGAGGTTGTTGGTCACGTAGTTGCAATGTGGTTGGGCTCATATTTTCCTTCAATATGAGGTTGTTGGTCACGTAGTTGCAATGTGGTTGGGCTCATACTTCCTTCAATATGAGGTTGTTGGTCACGTAGTTGCAATGTGGTTGGACTCATACTTCTTCAATATGAGGTTGTTGGTCACGTAGTTGCAATGTGGTTGGGCTCATACTTCCTTCAATATGAGGTTGTTGGTCACGTAGTTGCAATGTGGTTGGGCTCATACTTCCTTCAATATGAGGTTGTGGTCACGTAGTTGCAATGTGGTTGGGCTCATACTTTATCAATAGTTGCAATGGTTGGGCTCATACTTTCCTTCAATATGAGGTTGTTGGTCACGTAGTTGCAATGTGGTTGGGGTCACTTCCTTCAATATGAGGTTGTTGGTGTAGTTGCAATGTGGTTGGGCTCATTCCTTCAATATGAGGTTGTTGGTCACGTAGTTGCAATGTGGTTGGGCTCATACTTCCTTCTCATTTTATTTGGGCTCATTCAATATGAGGTTGTTGGTCACGTAGTTGCAATGTGGTTGGGCTCTATACTTCCTTCCAATGTCTTGGTTGTTGGTCAGGTTGTTGGTTCTCATACTTCCTTCAATATGAGGTTGTTGGTCAGGTAGTTGCAATGTGGTTGGGCTCATACTTCCTTCAAATGAGGTTGTTGGTCACGTAGTTGCAATGTGGTTGGGCTCATACTTCCTTCAATATGAGGTTGTTGGTCACGTAGTTGCAATGTGGTTGGGCTCATACTTCCTTCAATATGAGGTTGTTGGTCACGTAGTTGCAATGTGGTTGGGCTTCAATAGGAGGTTGTTGGTCACGTAGTTGCAATGTGGTTGGTTCATACTTCCTTCAATATGAGGTTGTTGGTCACGTAGTTGCAATGTGGTTGGGCTCATACTTTCCTTCAATATGAGGTTGTTGGTCACGTAGTTGCAATGTGGTTGGGCCTCATACTTCCTTCAATATGAGGTTGTTGGTCACGTAGTTGGTTGTTGGGCTCATATTTCCTTCAATATGAGTTTTGTTGGTCACGTAGTTGCAATGTGGTTGGGCTCATACTTCCTTCAATATGAGGTTGTTGGTATTTTCTTCAATATGAGGTTGTTGGTCAGTTGCAATGTGGTTGGGCTCATACTTCCTTCAATATGAGGTTGTTGGTCACGTAGTTGCAATGTGGTTGGGCCTCATACTTCCTTCAATATGAGGTTGTTGGTCACGTAGTTAGAAGGCTCATACTTCCTTCAATGTGCTGATGTAGTTGCAATGTGGTTGGGCTCATACTTCCTTCAATATGAGGTTGTTGGTCACGTAGTTGCAATGTGGTTGGGCTCATACTTCCTTCAATATGAGGTTGTTGGTCACGTAGTTGCAATGTGGTTGGGCTCATACCTACTTCAATAAGAGGTTGTTGGTCACGTAGTTGCAATGTGGTTGGGCTCATACTTCCTTCAATATGAGGTTGTTGGTCACGTAGTTGCAATGTGGTTGGGCTCATACTTTCCTTCAATATGAGGTTGTTGGTCACGTAGTTGCAATGTTGTTGGGCTCATACTTCCTTCAATATGAGGTTGTTGGTCACGTAGTTGCATGGTTGGGCTCATACTTCCTTCAATATGAGGTTGTTGGTCACGTAGTTGCAATGTGGTTGGGCTCATACTTCCTTCAATATGAGGTTGTTGGTCACGTAGTTGCAATGTGGTTGGGGCTCATATTTCCTTCAATATGAGGTTGTTGGTCACGTAGTTGCAATGTGGTTGCCTCATAATGGTTGGGCTCATACTTCCAATATGTAGTTGCAATGTGGTTGGAATCATACTTTCTTTCAATATGAGGTTGTTGGTCACGTAGTTGCAATGTGGTTGGGCCGTAGTTATGCTTGGGCTCATATTTTCTTCAATATGAGGTTGTTGGTCACGTAGTTGCAATGTGGTTGGGCTCATACTTCCTTCAATATGAGGTTGTTGGTCACGTAGTTGCAATGTGGTTGGGCAATGTGGTTCATACTTCCCTTCAATATGAGGTTGTTGGTCACGTAGTTGCAATGTGGTTGGGCTCATACTTCCTTCAATATGAGGTTGTTGGTCACGAAGTTGCAATGTGGTTGGGCTCATACTTCCTTCAATATGAGGTTGTTGGTCACGTAGTTGCAATGTGGTTGGGCTCATACTTCCTTCAATATGAGGTTGTTGGTCACGTAGTTGCAATGCTTTGGGCCTATTTCCTTCAATATGAGGTTGTTGGTCACGTAGTTGCAATGTGGTTGGGCCTATACTTCCTTCAATATGAGGTTGTTGGTCACGTAGTTGCAATGTGGTTGGGTTCATACTTCCTTCAATATGAGGTTGTTGGTCACGTATTTGCAATGTGGTTGGGCTCATACTTCCTTCAATATGAGGTTGTTGGTCGTAGTTGCAATGTGGTTGGACCTCATATTTCCTTCAATATGAGGTTGTTGGTCACGTAGTTGCAATGTGGTTGGGCCATATTTCCTTCAATATGAGGTTGTTGGTCACGTAGTTGCAATGTGGTTGGGCTCATACTTCCTTCAATATAGATTGTTGGAGGTTGCAATTGGGGCTCATCCCTTCGTTGGTCACGTCGTTGCAATGTGGTTGGACTCATACTTCCTTCAATATGAGTTTGTTGGTCATATGTTTGCAATGTGGTTTCATACTTCCTTCAATATGAGGTTGTTGGTCACGTAGTTGCAATGTGGTTGGGGCTCATATTTCCTTCAATATGAGGTTGTTGGTCACGTAGTTGCAATGTGGTTGGGCTCATACTTCCTTCAATATGAGGTTGTTGGTCACGTAGTTGCAATGTGGTTGGGCTCATACTTCCTTCAATATGAGGTTGTTGGTCACGTAGTTGTTCAATGTGGTTGGCCCATACTTCCTTCAATATGAGGTTGTTGGTCACGTAGTTGGGCAAATGTGGTTGGGCTCCATACTTCCTTCCAATGGGTTGTTGGTGAGGTTGTTGGTCACGTAGTTGCAATGTGGTTGGGCTCATACTTCCTTCAATATGAGGTTGTTGGTCACGTAGTTGCAATATGGTTGGGCTCATACTTCCTTCAATATGAGGTTGTTGGTCACGTAGTTGCAATGTGGTTGGGGCTCATACTTTCCTTCAATATGAGGTTGTTGGTCACAAGTAGTTGCAATGTGGTTGGGCTCACACTTCCTTCAATATGAGGTTGTTGGTCACGTAGTTGCAATGTGGTTGGGCTCATATTTTCTTCAATATGAGTTTGTTGGTCACGTAGTTGTAATGTGGTTGGGGCCATACTTCCTTCAATATGAGTTTGTTGGTCACGTAGTTGCAATGTGGTTGGGCCCATACTTCCTTCAATATGAGGTTGTTGGTCACGAAGTTGCAATGTGGTTGGGCTCATACTTCCTTCAATATGAGGTTGTTGGAGTTGCAATTGTTGGGCTCTTATTTAATTCCTTCAATATGAGGTTGTTGGTCACGTAGTTGCAAATGTGGTTGGGCTCATACTTCCTTCAATATGAGGTTGTTGGTCACGTAGTTGCAATGTGGTTGGGCTCATACTTACTTCAATATGAGGTTGTTGGTCACGTAGTTGCAATGTGGTTGGGCTCATACTTCCTTCAATATGAGGTTGTTGGTCAGTTGCAATGTGGTTGGGCTCAATCAATAAGAGGTTGTTGGTCACGTAGTTTGCAATGTGGTTGGCCTCATACTTCCTTCAATATGAGTTTGTTGGTCACGTAGTTGCAATGTGGTTGGGCTCATACTTCCTTCAAGTTGAGGTTGTTGGTCATGAGGTTGTTGGTCACGTAGTTGCAATGTGGTTGGGCTCATACTTCCTTCAATATGAGGTTGTTGGTCACGTAGTTGCAATATGGTTGGGCTCACGTATAATACTTCCTTCAATATGAGGTTGTTGGTCACGTAGTTGCATTGTGGTTGGGCTCATATTTTCTTCAATATGAGGTTGTTGGTCATGTAGTTGCAATGTGGTTGGCCTCATACTTCCTTCAAATATGAGGTTGTTGGTCACGTAGTTGCAAAGTTGCTCATACTTCCCTTCAATATGAGGTTGTTGGTCAGGTAGTTTGCAATGTGGTTGGGCTCATACTTCCTTCAATATGAGGTTGTTGGTCACGTAGTTGCAATGTGGTTGGGCTCATACTTCCTTCAATATGATGTTGTTGGTGTAGGCAATTGTTGGTCACTAATATGAGGTTGTTGGTAGTTGCAATGTGGTTGGGCCTATATTTCCTTCAATATGAGGTTGTTGGTCACGTAGTTGCAATGTGGTTGGGCTCATACTTACTTCAAGTTGCAATGTGGTTGGTCTTGCACTTCCTTCAATATGAGGTTGTTGGTCACGTAGTTGCAATGTGGTTGGCCTCCATATTCCTTCAATATGAGGTTGTTGGTCACGTAGTTGCAATGTGGTTGGGCTCATACTTCCTTCAATATGAGGTTGTTGGTCACGTAGTTGGGCTCTATACTTCCTTCAAATGTGGTGGTCACGTAGTTGGCCCATATTTCCTTCAATATGACTCTAAAGTTAAAATGTGGTTGGGTCACTTCCTTCAATATGAGGTTGTTGGTCACGTAGTTGCAATGGTTGGGCCTATACTTCCTTCAATATGAGTTTGAGGTTGGTCACGTAGTTGCAATGTGGTTGGGCTCATACTTCCTTCAATATGAGGTTGTTGGTCACGTAGTTGCAATGTGGTTGGGCTCATACTTCCTTCAATATGAGGTTGTTGGTCACGTAGTTTTAATGTGGTTGGGCTCATATTTCCTTCAATATGAGGTTGTTGGTCACGTAGTTGCAATGTGGTTGGGCTCATACTTCCTTCAATATGAGGTTGTTGGTCACGTAGTTGCAATGTGGTTGGGCTCATGTTTCCTTCAATATGAGGTTGTTGGTCACGTAGTTGCAATGTGGTTGGGCTCATACTTCCTTCAATATGAGGTTGTTGGTCACGTAGTTGCAATGTGGTTGGGCTCATACTTCCTTCAATATGAGGTTGTTGGTCTCGTAGTTGCAATGTGGTTTGGCTCCTGCTATCCTTCAATATGAGGTTGTTGGTCACGTAGTTGCAATGTGGTTGGGCTCATACTTCCTTCAATATGAGGTTGTTGGTCACGTAGTTGCCTCATACATCCTTCAATGTGGTTGGGTCACATATGTTCCATATTTTCAATATGAGGTTGTTGGTCACGTATGTGGTTGTCTATACTTCCTTCAATGTGGTTGTTGGCACGTATACATATTTCCTTCAATATGAGGTTGTTGGTCACGTAGTTGCAATGTTGGTTGGGGTCATACTTCCATTCAATATGAGGTTGTTGGTTGGCTCGCCGCCCTTCAATATGAGTTTGGTAATGGTTGGTTGAGGTTGTTGGTCACGTATACTTCCTTCAATATGAGGTTGTTGGTCACGTAGTTGCAATGTGGTTGGGCTCATACTTTCCTTCCAATATGAGGTTGTTGGTCACGTAGTTGCAATGTGGTTAACTCATTTCCTTCAATATGAGGTTGTTGGTCACGTAGTTGCAATGTGGTTGGGCTCATACTTCCTTCAATATGAGGTTGTTGGTCACGTAGTTGCAATGTGGTTGGGCACATATGAGGTTGGTCACCTTCAATATGAGGTTGTTGGTCACGAAGTTGCAATGTGGTTGGGCTCATACTTCCTTCAATATGAGGTTGTTGGTCACGTAGTTGCAATGTGGTTGGGCTCATACTTTCCTTCAATATGAGGTTGTCACGTAGTTGCATGGTTGGGGTACTTCCTTCAATATGTGGTTGGGCACATATACAATATGAGGTTGGTTGGGCTCATACTTGGGCCCTTCAATATGAGGTTGTTGGTCACGTAGTTGCAATGTGGTTGGGCTCATATTTCCTTCTAATATGAGGTTGTTGGTCACGTAGTTGCAATGTGGTTGGGCTCATACTTCCTTCAATATGAGGTTGTTGGTCACGTAGTTGCAATGTGGTTGGGCCTATACTTCCTTCAATATGAGGTTATTTGGTCACGCAGTTGCAATATGGTTCTCATTTTCTTCAATATGAGGTTGTTGGTCATGTAGTTGCAATGTGGTTGGGCTCATACTTCCTTCAATATGAGGTTGTTGGTCACGTAGTTGCAATGTGGTTGGGCTCATATTTCCTTCAATATGAGGTTGTTGGTCACGTAGTTGCAATGTGGTTGGGCTCATAATTCCTTCAATATGAGGTTGTTGGTCACGTAGTTGCAATGTGGTTGGGCTCATACTTCCTTCAATATGAGGTTGTTGGTCACGTAGTTGCAATGTGGTTGGGCTCATACTTTCCTTCAATATGTTGGTTGGTTGGGTCAATAAGAGGTTGTTGGTCACGTAGTTGCAATGTGGTTGGGCTTCAATTTGAGATTTTCATGCAATGTGGTTGGGCTCATACTTCCAATATGAGGTTGTTGGTCACGTAGTTGCAATGTGGTTGGCTCATATTTCCTTCAATATGAGGTTGTTGGTCACGTAGTTGCAATAATGGTTGGGCTCATACTTCCTTCAATATGAGGTTGTTGGTCACGTAGTTGCAATGTGCTTGGGCTCATATTTTCTTCAATATGAGGTTGTTGGTCACGTAGTTGCAATGTGGTTGGGGCAATGTGGTTTCATACGTCCTTCAATATGAGGTTGTTGGTCACGTAGTTGCAATGGTTGGGCTTATACTTCCTTCAATATGAGGTTGTTGGTCACGTAGTTGCAATATGGTTGGGCCTATACTTCCTTCAATATGAGGTTGTTGGTCACGTAGTTGCAATATGGTTGGGCTCATATACCTCCTTCAATATGAGGTTGTTGGTCACGTAGTTAAATATGGTTGGCTCATACTTCCTTCAATATGAGTTGTTGGTCACGTAGTTGTCAATGTGGTTGGGCTCATACTTCCTTCAATATGAGGTTGTTGGTCACGTAGTTGCAATGTGGTTGGGCTCATACTTCCTTCAATATGAGGTTGTTGGTCACGTAGTTGCAATGTGGTTGGGGCTCATACTTTTCCTTCAATATGAGGTTGTTGGTCACGTAGTTGCAATGTGGTTGGGCTCATACTTCCCTTCAATATGAGGTTGTTGGTCACGTAGTTGCAATGTGGTTGGGCTCATACTTCCTTCAATATGAGGTTGTTGGTCACGTAGTTGCAATGTGGTTGGGCTCATACTTCCTTCAATATGAGGTTGTTGGTCATGTGGTAGTTGCAATGTGGTTGGGCTCATACTTCCTTCAATATGAGGTTGTTGGTCACGTAGTTGCAATGTGGTTGGGCCTCATACTTCCTTCAATATGAGTTTGTTGGTCACGTAGTTGCAATGTGGTTGGGCTCATACTTCCTTCAATATGAGTT